CCGCGCCCCATTCCTGCTTCCCACCACATTTATGTTCTGTTTGTATTTGGGTTACAAAGTAAGAAAGGATCCTGCAGAGATGATCTGAACACGATGTCTGTCTCGTTTCAAGTGTTTGCTCTACTGGTTAAACATGGGTCAGATGAAATCTTTATTTTTCATTCAAAATTGAAGAAAAATATATAATGCTTTCTCATTGTCTGACATGGGACAGGGGCTGGGATCTGCCTTTCTTCACACATGTGTGGGCAGCACACACCAGGGACAATATCCACCAGGGACAATACCCAGGAGAAATACCCTGGGCAACTCTGTCCTGGTAAGCAGACTCAGAGAAAGGCCCTCGAGCCCCACTTTCCCAAGTGGCAGCACTCCACAGGGCAGGGGAAACACGTGAGGCTTGTTGGGGAAGGGTTAGTATGAGATTCCACTGCATCCATGGTCTCAGCCCTGCTTCAGCCTTCTGGTGCTTGACCAGCCCCGAAGAATAAAGTGGTGTGTGCTGCCCAAACGGATTTCCTCTTGGAAGCAGCCTTGGACGCAGTCTCACCCATGCTTCTCTAGAGGAATTAGCGATGGGTATTTACTTCTACCCACTGTCCTATTTTCTGCTTTTTAAATAAAGCACATGGTAAGTGTTTGAGTTCTTGAAAAATTCATTTAACCGTGCGGACTCCAACGTGCACTGGGTGTTGTTTTTAAAGCCCTTATTGATGCAAAATGTTGGATAATGTTTATGGACAAGTCACATGTTCAACAAAGGATTTGTATCTAGAGTATGTAAGGAACTCTCAAAACTCAAAACCAGTCTAGTTAGAAAAACCAAAAAGAGGACTGACATTTCATCAGAGGATATCTGAGGGGTAGATTAGAATGTGAAAAGATATTCAACTTCATTCACCATTAGGGACGCAATACAAACCACAGTGAGATATTGTTGTTTCTATTAACATGGATAAAATAAAGAACAATGATAAAACGAAGTGCTGGTAAGAATGCAGAGAAATGATCTCTCCCACCTTGGGTGGTAATGTGAACTGTACAGCTTCACTGAATGGTTTGGTAGCTCCTCTTAAAACTAAAAACTAAAACTGGGCTTGACATACAACCTAACCATTGTACTCTTGGGCATTTATCCCAGAAAAGTGAAACTTTATTTTCACACAGACGTGGTACATAAATGTTCACAGCAACTTTATTTGTAATAGCCCCAAACTGGGAACTACCACATGTTTGGCCAGATGAATGGCCATGGAACAGTGGTCAGCAGCAAATGGGGATGAACAATTGATACAGGCAGTAAGTAGGATGAATGTCCAGGAAATTATGCTGAGTGAAAAAAACTAACCGAGTCAAAAAGATATATACACCACACGATTCTTTTTGTATAACATTTGTGATATGATTATGAATATGGGAATGACCTTATTACAGAAATACAAACAGATCAATGGTTGTCAGGAGTTAGGGGTGAGGGGGAAGGAGTAGGTGTGGCTCTAAAGGGGTAACAGGAGGGAACCTGGTGACGCACAGTTAGAAATCTTGACTGTGGTGATGGTTATGTAAAGCTACACACGTGATGAAATGTCACAGAGCCATACAACACACGCAGCTGAGTGCGTGTGTGACTGGTGAGCCTGGGAGAACTCAGGGGACTGTACCAGGGTCCGTTCCCTGGTTGTGGCTTCATCATAAAACCACACTGGGTTTTAGTTTACATGGTATAAACAAGATGTTAGCCTTGGCGGAGACTGGGAAAAGGGCACATAGGACCTCCCTGTCCACTTCCTCCTCTGAATCTTTAACTATTCAAAACAGAAAGCTAAAAAAGAATACTGAAGTCTAAGAGCAAAGGACTCAAAAAATGGAAGTAACTGCCAATGTTTACCAGAAAAGTTTTATGGAAAAAATTTATGAAAAAATGTACAGAGGGAACACTGGGCTGGGCCTGAGAAGGCCTTGGATTTAGTCCTGTTTCGTCTCTGCGAGCAGGCTGGGCCTGGGCACGCGCCGCACATCCTTGGGTTTGTCTGCCTATGGACACAGTAGGTTTGCAACAATTGCTCTATTTTGAACATTTGTTGTAAGGATTCGTCGAGCTACTATATATAAAGAACATTTTGTAGTGCCAAGTGCATGGAAAATGCTCAATAAATGTTAGTTCTTCCATAATATAAGTTATAATCATGATGTTAATTTAAACTTACACATACAGAATAGAAAACACTGACTTCCTTTACAGAGAAGCTGGCTGTGTTTTTAGGTTTCAATATTTGAGGGGCCATTTGGAAGATTCTCAAGCATAATTTTACTGTTAGAGCCTTTGGCAAGGGTACTTACGTGTCTGCATGTGTGTGTACTTTGGGATATGGGAAAAATGTCTCCTAGTTCAGCCTTTTCCATATCAGTAGTTCCACCAAAGGGAATTTGCAGCTTCCCATCACTGGTGTCTGTTTTCTGCAGGATACCCATGATGGCCAGAGGTTCCTCCAGGTACTAAGCAACCGTTGTCATAGAAGTTACTAGCTTTACCCACTGTGCACCAATGAACGCATTTCCAGAAAAACTCTCAGTTGAGTGATAGCTTTTAATAACTTTCCCGTACCATGTGGGACTCTCTTGATAATAATGCTTGAAGAATTAGGTGGGTGTTTTGGTGGTGTGGGTTTCACTGCATGCCAAACATTTAACTGTGTTAGATACCGGCCTGTTGTTTCAGAGTTTCTGGAAACTAGCCACCCAGGTGCCTAACATCGGTTCCCTTTAAGTCTTTGATGAGATATTCAGAAATGACTTCCACTTGGGCAGATCCGGCTCAGTTTGTATTGCTCTGCCTGTCTAACTGTCATGCAGGCAGGGGGCCGGGTGGTGGGGCATCTCTCTGACATTCAGTCTGCTGCTCATTGGCTCTCCTGATCTGGTTGGAGTGGATCCCCTTACATTTCTTATTTAAGCCCATAAGCTCTGCTTTGACTTTGGTTTTGGAATTCTAGACCTGTGTTCTCAGAATGAGAGACGCTTCCGTATGTCTGGTGCGCACCCTTCCAGTGCCAGGGCGGGAAGCTCATGGGCTCATTCCTACAGCCTCACTAATGCAGTGACCCAAGGTGCTGACGGGGACACACAGTCAGCTCCTGGAGGTGGGGACCCCTGTTTCTGGTGTTCATTGTGGAAATCTGCACTGGCCTGGAGCACCCTTGGCTGCTTGATTATTGCAGCCCTCTCCCCAACTCATGATACCTGCAACTCCCTACTGCTGCTTGGTTCTCGATTTCCAAACTTGCAGCGTGGTGGCTTTGAATCCAAGCCCCTCTCAGGCCCTGAGCTATTAAACTCCTTTCTTTTCTGCTGGAAACATTTCCTGGTCGCAAAAGATATTCAGACTCATAGATTCCCATCAAAGCCAAGTGATGTATGCTTTGCCCTTTTTCTAATCCTCTCCCCCTCCTTCTCATACTTCATGCTCATTTGTATGACAGTTTTTATTTTCTGTGTCTGAAGCTGCGCCCCCTCCCCAGGGCTCTGCAGAAAGGTGCGACATAAGAGCGCAGAGGACTGAATTTGCCAGGTATTGACCCCGTGAGACAGCAGAGCTCCATTTGACAAGAGAGCTCTACCCACTAATTATTCACATAACGTGAAAAATAAACGGGGTTTGTTAACACGGATGCTCTTAGCATGTTAGCTTACCTCAAAGCCATTTTAATGATGATTGAGTAGCAATCAGATCCTGCCTTATCAAGGGGCTCTGTTGCTGTGCATGTTGCTGGTCCTTAATGGGCTGACATGTAAGGGTGGGGTGTGAGCAGGACGTGACACAGTTTCGTTTCTGAGGAGTTGTAACAGGGCATTTAAGATTTTATAACTAAATTTAGAAGAACTAGCTTCTAAAACATTCTTACGAGATGAGTCCCCTCACATAAATAATTCAGCTAGTCTTAATTAAATATTCTGACTGAGGTTTTGGTCGTTTTCTTTTCATTTAGTTTATTGTCCCAGTTTGCAAAATGAAGAGCATTTAAAAAAATTAAGTTAGTCTCTCTTACCATTCAGAGAGCTTTTAAACATTTTACTTGAAATAGAGACTTCCTAGCTTAAATTGATGTTGGTCTTGGGTTAACTATTTCTATTCCGTGTCAACTAATATCGTCTTGAACTGAGTCACCAAGATCGACACCCCAAAATGTAAAAAATATGTGCTGAGGTAAAATATCAGAGAAAGAGGCTTATTCTAAATACACAGCAAAGATGAACTTGTAGGATACATCCCACCCTTCTTCTCTTTTGCTGTCCTTGCCCTGCCTATGCCAGACGTTTTGCCACACCTTATTTGATCCTTAGGACATCTCTTTGAGTTTGTATTATCCATATGTGGCAGATGGGGAAGCTGAGGCCAAGATGTTTCAGTAACCTTCTGGAGATGATTGATCATATCTAGAATTTCCGAACACATAGCCTGTGTCAGATGCATTTGGGTTCTGAAATGCATACTCAGGGGTCTCACCCAGAGCTCCTAAAGTTTTGGGGTGGGGACCCATATGTTTTCATTTTTTGACAGCCTCCCTTGGTTGTTTGTATAAACATCAATGTCACATCACCTACACCTACACCATAGCTGTATGAGGGTTCCTGACCTGCATGAATTCTGCTTGTGGACCAGAACTGAGTTGCCTGAGGGCGTCTGTATATTGGAAATTGTTGAGAGAATGGGAGCAATGTAGCAGATGCCGAACAACACAGGGGGTAGGGCTGCCAATGCCCCTATAGTAAAAAAATCCCAGGATGACTTCTGACTGCCCCCTATACTTCACTACTAGTAGCCTACTGTTGATGGGAAGCTTTAACACGAACTCAATTAACACGTATTTTATGTTATATGTGTTATATGCTGTGTTCTTATAATAAAGTAAGTGACAGTAAAGAAAATATTATCCAGAGAGTCATAAAGAAGAGAAAGTACATTTACAACACTGCATTGTATTCGTTGAAAAAAATCCACACATTTCAAACTCATGTTGTTCAAGGGTTAACTGCGTTTTCTGTCCTGAGATTTGAGACCTCAGATTGTCTTGGTGCCTTTTACCTTTGATGGTCTTTTACTGTGTGAGTTACTCAAGTTCTCTGCTGATTTCCTGCTTGCTTTTGACCGGTCACAGCTTGTTTGGATCCGATGGTCTCTCACAGCCCTGTCTTTGCAAGAGGCTCTGCCACTACGTATTAGTCCACATCCAGTAAGGAAAGCACCGGAGGCCTGTGAACAGAGGGAGATGCACGTAGGGAATGGGCTGCACAGATGGCGAAAGACCAGGAAAGTCAAATAGGACAGGGACGCAATCAACCCATAAGGAGCAGCAGAAAGATTAGCGACCACATGGTCACACTACGGTGTCCTGCCGTGTCAGGGGACAACCGGCGGAGGCAGTGGTACCGGAATGCAGAGGCTGGGGCCACGTGGCAGGTCCTGGGAGCATCTGGGGAGAGAGCTTCTGATGAGGGCTCTGGGCAGGAAGGAGGTGCTGGTGATGCGGCCTGAGGCGGAGTGGGGGTCACGCCCGGCTCCCCCTCCTGTTGCACGTCACTTCCCACGAGCCCTCTCATTGGCCAGATCACCAGGAAGCTGGCTGGCAAAGCAGGCTGACGGATGGAGTTCCTGACACACAGGGCAAGGGCGGGGGCGGCTTCAGCTTGGCCACCCCAGTCCCGTGCCGCACCTGCAGACCACGGGCGCCAGGACTGGGCCCCTGCCTGCCTCCTTCTCTTACCTTCCAGGACTTTCCACGTCCCTTCAGCTGTGGGCATGCGAGCTCCCAGCTCCCTGGCCGGGCAGGGCGGGGCCCTCCTCATGGTCTCAGGGCCCTACCTTGTGGCTGCAGAGAGGGAGGCGAGACACCAACCTCACCTTCCATGGCAGGCGTGGTAAGTCCACGTCCTTATCCCAGGACCCATGGATGCGAGGTCACATGGGGAGGACGTCAAGGTGCACATGGAGCTAGGGTGCTGGCAGATGGCCTTACGCAGCAGGAATCCTGGATTATGGAGGGGAACCTATCCTGTAACCCAAGGGTCTTTACATTAGAAGAGGGAGGCAGGAGAACAGAGCTACGTGACCACAGAGTGTGATACGGGACACAGGCCGCCGTTCAAGTCCCCTGGGACAGGAGCCCCGCCTAACGGACCCGTCTTATACAACTGTTTTTTTATCAGAAGGAACTAGACCTCCAACACAGCTCATACTGAAAAATAAAAATACAAATAATCTTTAAAATAAGAAATTTTAGGATAATATTCTTAGAACTTGGAGTAAGGGGGGCACTTGCTTGAGTAGGACTAGCAGCGCAGACCCGTGAAGGGAGGACTGGCTGTCATGGGCACAGACGGATGTAAGATCTCTGCACATGCACGGAGACCGCAGAGTGAGTAGGCGCCCCACGGCGCCCACAGGGGGCCGGGCAGACAGCCTCGGGGTCGGGCTCCAGGGGCCTGGCGCCGGCGTGTAGGGGCCGTGGACACGAGTGGCCCACGCGGAAGCCAGCGCCCGGGGGCGGCCTGTAAGGCTCTGGGGTTGTGTTTTGCTTTGTTTTTACCCACGGTTCTCAGTTCTTCCTTGACTTCTTCGGCTCCAAAGTTCCATTTTGACTTTCCTGTTGTCCTTTTCTGGTTTTGTTGAGCGGTGGTCCCAAAGTACGCTCCAGCGGTCTCTGTTTTAGAGAGAACATATGGAGATTATGTTTATGAACTAATGACATTTTTATTCACTATTCCGTTAGTGCTCTAAAAATGTCTATTCTGGTTTTGGGTGTAAAAGTTTTATATGTGCCAAGGTTGTTAGCTGTGTTATTGAAGTTCTTAAGTCTAATTGAACCCATTTCTGAAAAATGTGTTTCTGCTTTTCCCAATTTCTCCTTGAATTTGCATATCTTTTGCTATAGATCTTGATGCTTTATTATGTGCCTAGGGATACATGACTGTTGTTATTCTTGGTGAATTATTTCTTCAATCAGAAGAAAATTACTTCATTGCCTCCTTTAGGAATGTTTGCTTTGAAACCTGTTGGTGCCGCTACACCTGCCTTCCCTCGTCAGCATCTCCTTGTGTCTCGTCTCATCCTTTATTTATTAATGTCTCCTGTGCCATTTGGTTTTGGAGGGGACCCTTGTAAACAGCATACATTTATCTTAACCTGCCAGAACATGCCTTTTCAGGGGGGAATTTAACCTATTACAATGACTAATATGTCTCAAGTTATTCCAGTCACCATATTTTTAGTCTTCTGATTAAATTATTATGGAAAACATGAGTTAATGGAAATAAGAGGTAAAACTTTCAAATTACTAAAGGAAAGAGAAAGATTTCCACCAGCCGGGGAAGCCCAAGGAGGCCCAGAAATCTGCAAGGAAGGCAGCACGTCACACAAAGTTTGCTCTCCCCTTAGGACTGTCTGCATGCTTTTCCTCCACTGAACATCCTTTGCAATTTCTAGGAGCCACTAGAATTTTAGTTGCCGGTGTTTTTTTCTTTTATTAATATTCATTCAGAAGTGCATGCTTCAATAATGCATTAATGATAATGCTTGCATCCAACTCACTGACACTTTATCAGCTCTGCCCAAATGCCAAGGCAGCCCCCACGGCCGAGAGGTCGTTTGCAGCGCCTCCATGGTGAGGCCGCATCATTCGTGCCGCCAGCAAAATAGATTTATGTATTTATTTCACAATTTTCTAGGCGGTGTCAGTGAAAGGTCCTAGTGATGGAGCGTATTTTGGAATTGGTCGTCCGTGATGGTTTGTTTATTCTCCTATCTGCAGATTCTTTGTTGCCTATTAATTTTTTTGTTAATATGCAGCTTAATCTGGTGTGAATGAGCTGGAATCTGTAAGAGTTGACGCCCCATTTCCTCAGAGGAAGTCTGGCCCCGCTGGGGAGGACACACCGACAGGAAGGCTTCTCCGCCAGGAGCTGGTCAGGGGCCGGCAGCCCTGCCTCCTGCTGAGGCTCCCAGGGCTGCGGGGCCTCGGGCTCCTGTGGACCCCTCCCTGGGCTCAGCAGGTGCAGCACACAGAGAAAAGGCTGGCAGGACAAGGAGAACAAATGCCCACTCTACCTAGGCGATGACAGTGTCCAGTAGGCTCCCAAACCTGTTTCGAAATGTGTACTTTTCTGGGCAATTATACTTTGCTAAAAAGTTAAGAAAACACTGGGTTGAAGAAGGAGGCTTAGCCCCGAAGGTAGCTGGGACGGCCCTCGAACCGAGGACCTAATCTGATGACTCCCTCTGCTGCTAGCAGAGCAGAGGTGCTGGAAGAGAGGAGAGAAACCCTGTCCAGGAGGGCTGGGCACCTGGGTGCAGGGGTGCACAGAGGGGGCAGCAGGGCATCGGCTGTGAGGCACAGGCTTGGTTCTGAGCCCCAGACAACCAGGCAGGGAAGGTCCTGCCAGTCACAGGAGTGCATCGTCCTCCCTTTAGAGGGAAATGAAGGTTAAAGTGAGCTCTCCTGGGGGAGCGTGGGAGGGATGGGCATCTCTCCTGTGTGAGCCCAGGCCCAAAGTCGGGGAGCAGGCCACCCCTCTCAGGCTGGCACTGCTCAGGCTGTGCGTTTGCACACACAATGTCATTCTCACCTGTCCACCTCCATCGTCTTTGCACTATCCAGAAGTTTCTCAGAGATATTTCTGTGCTGGCATCCTTCCTGTTTCCCAGTGACCTCTAGGTCATGCTCATTCAATACCTCTCTACCTTGAGGGGGATCTAGAGGGCGCACATGCAGGCTCAGACCACCTTCGTGGACCGGAAAAGTGGCAGGGTGCAGGCGGGTATGGAGTGGCATCCGAGGGGGCTGTCGGGGGAGACCGAGGGCGTGATGCCAGCAGGTGATCTGTAACTTGGCAACTGGGAGGCTTGGGAGAAGACAATGAAGAAAATGCATTCCTACCTTCAAAGATTTTCCAGTCTTGCTGTGGAGACATTAGCGCCCCGGATCCTTGGCAGGCTCAGTGCGCCAGCGTTGAGCAGAGACAAGCTCAGCGCCGGGCGAGGTCTACACCGTGCTCTCCCTCTCAGCCTCTGTGCTCCTGGCTGCCTTTCTAGGAGGTCCCCTTGATGCTTCCCACCTCTCAAAGGCAGGGACTCATTCCATGTCCTCTCTGGAAATCTTTTCAGACCATACTCGTCTACACCACCAATCAGTCCAATAAATATCTTTTGAAAGAATGCTTCTGTGTGCTGGCATTCAGCCACAAACATCCAAGCCTTCCCTCGAGGAGCAGATGTACTCCTTCCTCTCCTAAATGGCTGTGTGCTTGTGCTTTTACCGTCCTTTGGCTCTGACACAGACGAGTATCACCCCTTGACGCAGGTGCACCCTGTCAGCCCCTCCCTCGAGGTGCGGAACTCTCCCAGAGCTGGCGTGAGTCAGCCATGTCTGCCACCCGTGCCCTCCCCTTCTCTGCCCCGGATGCAGGGCGGCTCCCTGTCTCAGGCTTCGCTGCTCTGTGCCAGCGGAGGCTTGGCACATGACAGGGGGAAGGCAAGGAGTGGGGGTCTTCACCCCCTTTCCGTTTCCAGCAGCATCTCCGGGGCACTCCTACTCTTGTGGGAAGTCCCCCCGCCTTGCCACAGTCCTGGCCCAAGGGTCTGCCTTCCCCCGGGGGCAGGTTAGTGCCCGCTGGTGCTGGCGTCTGGGCTGCCTCACTGCCCCGTTTGGTATCTCTGTTCTTCCAATGCTTGTATTAATTTCCTGTCTAAATTCCCTTTGTTTGAAATCTTACCCTGGGTTCTGTTTTCTGACTGGATCTTGACTGATAAGTGTTCATCTACTTCCTCAACAATTCATTTATTAATAAAAAAAACCTAATTGTGCTGATTCTGTGTGCCAGGCACTGTGCTGGGTGCCGGGGATTGAGAAATAAAAAGAGAAGTAACCAAATACATATCTGTCACCTTGAAATTCAGTGACTGAATTTCAGTGTGAGGGACAGCATTCCTGCCCGCACCCCACCCAGCCCCAGTCACTGAAGCTTGGGGGCATCTCTGGCTTATGACTGCAGGACTGAGCCTGCCCCGGGGAAGAGTATTTCAGAGGATGGTCAGCCATGTTTCCTCTAGTGGCTGGATGTCAAGTTCTTAACTGGACTTTAGTTCTGGCTCTGAAGTGGCTGAATATGGTGGTGGGAGCTGAGGAGTTAACCTGACCTTTATGCAAGTGGCGTCCGGCAAGGGTGGCGTCCTGCAAGAAGTAGATTGCTCCGACATGGAGAGCCCATTCATGGTCCACCTCTGGCATTTTCAAAAGAACAAGTGTTCTAAAATTCTTTTGTCTTGGAAGAAGGAGGTTCAGCATTGATGCTGAGCATTTCTAGCAGCCGATGCCCTGGTATCCAGAGTAGAGAGAAACCCTCGGGGTAGCTTTGACCCAGTCAGAATGCCAAGTACCACTTACCAGCCAGCTTCCGTGTCTTACCCACGGCAGGAGTTCCTGATGGGAATTTATTTCAGAAATTGGATTAGGGCTCCTCAGACGCTGCTCCGTGCTCTGAGCCACGAGTCTATAGGCAGAGCGCAGCGCGGCCCCCCACTACAGCTCTGCACTGTCCTCGGACCACTTGGTGGATCGGTCAGCATTTATCAGCCTCTGAAGCCCCATGCCCGGAAGAGACATTTCCCTGGAATCCAAGGCTTTAAGAGCTTAGACGAATGCTCGATGCGATGGGTGGGTGATGTCTGAGGCTGCCAGGCCTCTCGGAGTCTCTTTGACTGAGTTGCCATGTAGCCCTGGATGATGACAAATGATGCTCCCTGGGAGTCTGAGCTCAAAGTCTTTCTCAGTCTGGTGAGCTGGACAATTTCTTTAGTGTAGAACAAAGTTCTTAATATTTTTTTTGAGGGGAAGACCTAGACCCATTGAGGACGTGGTAAAAGCTATGGACCCTTTCACTGGAAACATGTATTTGCACAGTTTTGCGCACAGTCTCTCTGACATCCGTTGGTCCCCGGGCCCAGATCAGTATTGTACGGCTGTGCTGTGCTGGAGAAAGCAGAGGCACTCTGTGGTCCTGTCGGGCAGGTCCACGCCCTGCCTCTGGCCTTTTGGGGCCCACATTCTGCATACACTGAAGTGCAGCAAGGCCATTCATCCATGGCCACTGTGCCAAGGTCTGTGCTCAGGCAAAAGGCCTGTCTTCTCTGTGGCAGGGCTTCCTTTTGGAGATGGCAAGAAGCAGGTAATGTCTGGGGCCTGTTCCTTCACAAATGTTTCCATGCGGCTTCTATTCCTATCACTATTAGAAAGTTCCTGCCAAACTTTCTAACAGCCTCATCTTCCAGAGCTGACAACAGACATTTTATTCTTCATCCTTCACAGCCACTTGGCAGCATCTGCCCCAGCTGGTCGCTCCTCCCTTGAAATGTTTCAGTCTTGACCTCTAGAGGGTTTGCTACTCCCTCCCTGGCCTCTTCTCCTCAGACTCTTTGCTGGCTCCTTCCCAGCTGCCTGCCCTGTAAGTGTTGGAGTCCTACAGCTTCATCCTGAGACCTATCTCGTCTCTATCTGCATTTATTCTCTAGAAAGTTCCATCCAGTGCCATGGCCTTCAAAGTCCCCAGGATCTGATGGTTCTGGTCTGACCATGGCTCTGGGTTCTGATGCATATGTCCAGCCACTTACACTTGAATCCCTGCCTGGGTGAACCAGCATCCCAGAATTGATATTCCCAAATGATGTTCATGATTGCAGTAAGATGCCATTTTTCTGAAGTGGTGGGGGGTGCGGGGGGAACTGGAGAGAACCAGGGTAGGAGGTGACCAGTTATTAAGCTAAACATTCACAGAACACCCTTAACTTTTTCCTTTTCCCTTATCTTGACCACCCACTCGATCTGAAAATCCAGCAGAGCCCCACCACCAAAATAGATGACGATCCCATCGTCTTTCCCCATTTTTCTTACTCTAGACAAGCCACCTTCGCCTCTTACCTGGAAGGATGCAGTAGCCACGTCACGGGCCTCTCTGCCTCCTCTCTACACCATCTTTCACCAGCAACCAGCAGCTTTTCATAAACTAAAATCGGACTGCATTACATTGCTTGCCTTCTAGAACTTACCAGGGCTCCTCATGGTCAGGAAGAAGTAAATCTCCCAATCCAGGCTCTGTGGCATCCATCGCCTGCCCATCTCACACTCTCAAATTCTGCACAGTGTCGTAGCTAGGCTCAGTGGGTTTCTTTCTAGTTTTTTTTAAATATGCTAGGCTCTTCTTCTGGTCTAGAGAAGGATTCTAGAGAAAATGTGACACAAATTAATTGATTTTCATGCGTATGCTGCTTTCTCTCTCCAATCAGATTGCAAGCTCCTTGAGAGCAGGGGCCCAGTTTTATGCTTTTCGTCCTCAACATCCCCACCTGGGCCTCCAGCCTCCTCTTCGGTTGGCACCTGGGCCAGTGTCTCTCACTACTTCATTTAACAGACTGTGTTGTGAGCACCTACTGCACATTGAGCTCAGCCTTAAGTCCTGGGAATTTAGTAGACATGAGATGCTGGGATTGTTTCCCTCTTAGTCTAGAAGTAGACTTGGCTTGGTGAGAATGGGGGTGAGGGGATCCTTGCCATAAAGTAGTAAAGGTGAGATGTGTCAAAGCAAATTTTAGCTTGCGTAGAATTTTGTCATTCTAATGAATTTTGAAAACTATCACAAGCTACCTTTATTGCTCAGGATTAGTAACAGACTAAATAGTGCCTTCATTGCTTGCAAGAGGAAATATGATTTCCCAAAATGCTAAATTCACTCCTAGGCTGTAGCTGAGAGAATCAAACTTAATGGAAAATAATGATATTCCTAACCGGAATAAACAGCAAGTGAAGTAAACCCTCATCTCCCTTCCCCCACGGTAAACATCTTCCATTCAGAGTTTTGCCGGAGACACAGCAGACCAATAAATCAAAGCATATCAAAGGAGAAAGCATTACTCTTTTAGGAATAGACTCTTCCTTCAGACTTAAACACAACTACAACATGTTAGGGGTGAGGCTGCTTGTGCCCACGTGTTGTATTCGGCATGGAGAATCTACCTTACATCGTTGTTTCAAAGCTTTTTCTTAAAAAATTGCAAACCAAGCCTTGCTAGGTTATAACCCAAAGCTTCCTTGCTAATGCAAGTGGAATTAGCTACCAGGTGTAAATATTGCCTAGAAGCGTAGCTTGTAGAGTGTAGTGAGCAAGCATAAGCAATCCATGTACATTTCAAGCTATTCATTACAGAGAGCAAAGTAGCCTGGCCGGTCTGAGGTGGAGCTGGGATGTTCTGTGCTGGTTAAAAATCATGAGAGGCTTATGGAAATGAATGACATGGTGTTATTTTTAAAAGATAAATTTTTTTCCTTTTCTGCTCAAATAAGAATAGAAGCAGGAAAGAAGAAACTTGGGCAAATCCGTGCTCTGTCTTACTGTTTGTCGAGGGGGAGCCTGTGGTGGAAGGCAGTGCCCGGGGCCTTGTGGCAGAAGCCCCTGAGCCTGGGGAGGGTGCAAGGTGGAGCTCATGCCCAGGGCCAGAGGCCATTATTCCTACCGCAGCAAAAGGGCGCAGAGTAGCAGGACTCCTAACATCCTATCAGAACCACACATTGCCACAAACGATCATTGTAAGAGTGCTCTTTGAGGGCGCTGCCAAATTTCCAAAAACTCGACAAAGAATGGCTTTATCCTTTAAAAGCTCTAGGCATTATCTCAACAATTTAAGCCAAATCAGTTTCACTAGTTTAGGTTTTGACCAAAACTGGTATTAGTTTACCTTAAAACAACTCAGAATGACTTTTGTCTGCTTCTAAGTATCACATTTGCCCTCAAAACCTAAGGATTTAGCACCGTGAAGGCACAGGAAGTGCAGCGTGATGGCCGCTACCAGGGAAGCTCTAAACGGGCAGGTGCTCCTGTAGCTTCGGGGGGACCTGGGCGACTCTCTCGGAGGGTTTGCGCCGAAGGGGTCAAGACTCAGACACATGAATTCAAGCATCGGTCAAGCTACCTTACAATTGTACATTCCATACAGATTTAGCTGGGAATTGAAACAAGCATTTTATTGAAGCCTGCAGTGAAAACTGGGTTAAATAATTAGTGCTTTGATTTCAGAAATGGGTGGAAGAGTGCCTGAATATTTCTATTTAGGTTTTTTTCTTTAAGTTAATTCAGAGGTCTGTACTATTAATTACTTTAGTGTGAAGTCTGTAGGTCAGATGTACAACTGAATGGGAAGGGTTCCAGTTTCTAGTCCTGGGACTTGCAATTAGTTGT